ACTTGATCAATGTAGCCTGGACCAGCCCAGAAGGTGAACGTGATGCTCGTGTAAAACTTCACCAGAGCTGAAGAAGGAAGAGGAAGTCATTTTTTTGTTTGCTTGCGATCATGTGCAGGCACGCACAGCGCGGTGGCCAGAAATTTTGCACCATGTGCAAGATGCACTGCAAACAAAACACAGCAACTTCTGTTGCTTTTAAAATACCGATTGTGCTACTGGCATCGAAGGAGCAAGTGTGAAGCATTTTACGTTCATTCAGCATGGCGAGCTCCACTTGAGTGTGCTGCATGTGGGTCAGCTGCACTTGAGTGAGCTGCACTTGAGTGAGCTGCACTTGAGTGAGCTTCACTTGAGTGAGCTTCACTTGAGCTGCACTTGAGCTGCACTTGAGTGAGCTTCACTTGCGTGAGCTCCACTTGAGTGAGCTTCACTTTAGCTGCACTTGAGTGAGCTGCACTTGAGTGAGCTGCACTTGAGTGAGCTTCACTTGAGAGAGCTTCACTTGAGTGAGCTTCACTTGAGCTGCACTTGAGTGAGCTTCACTTGAGTGAGCTCCACTTGAGTGAGCTCCACTTGAGTGAGCTGCACTTGAGTGAGCTCAACTTGAGTGAGCTCCACTTGAGTGAGCTTCACTTGAGCGAGCTGCAATTGAGCTGCACTTGAGCTCCACGCGAGCGTCACTCGAGTGAGCTCCATGTGGGTAAGATGCTTCGTGAGTGTGCTGCCTGTAAGTCAGCACGCTCACCCCTGAAGCAGTTTACTCAATGTGAAAGTTCGAATCTCTGCAGAAGCTACTTCCACGGAGAATTTCAAAGCTGCTGCCTGATTCAGTGTGTACATGAAGAACCTGTGACACCATTCATAGGCGTAGATTGAAATAGAAATGAATAATAGTCTGGACTTAAAGTTTGTAAAATAACGAAATATTACTATTTGGTTCTTTCGGTAAAGTCACGTAGGTATGTATTCCTGCAGTCACGAAAGCTTCAAATAAAAAAAATGTAATATTACTTTATCCAAAGTCTACCTTGCAAAAGAGAAAAAGAAGCTTGGTTTGCTATCACCTGTTACATTTTTTGGTGATTTTGAAAACGTTTTTTCGTATGGACATGTTTTTGTTTATTGTAGTACGGAGTTAGACTGATGGCCTTAATCTTAGTTGTCTTGTGGTTGTTGTTGTTGTTCGACTTGCATCCCACTGGGATTTTTTGCACACAGCGTTGGTGTACGGTGTTTTTTTGCTGTTTTTTTCATGGATTTTCTGTATGCACAGTCACAGTCACTTTAAGATGTTTTCTTGTTCATGTTTTTTGTTTGTTTGTTGCGGTTGCACCCGATTCAAGAGCCGAATAGTTCACAGGGCTATACCATATAAATAAACTGAAACTGAACTGAAATTAATAATTGTAACTGTTCTGCAACATTTTAAGACGGCATATCTAAGTTTTCACCATGATCGATTAAAAAATAACCTCACGGGCCCTCACTTGTCATCCTCCAAGGGTTATTCATGTGACCATTATGCTTTGCCGTCTTCACTTCGAAAGACAAGCGAGCGGTTTAACCCCAAGGTGGACAGGACAGAAATAATCCGCAAACCACACACACCTCATACGTTTATCATTAAGTGTTGGTGCCCGGGCTGAGACCATCACTCTCCCTATATGTGCGGACCTCGGGCTAGGATTCAAATAGAGGGTCCTCAGTAGAGCTGCCTCAGTGTTCAGATGTGGGACCCCCGAGTTTGCCCGTTGTTCCGCCTCCTTCCGCAGCAGGAGAGGGATCGCTTGCTTCATAGCGGCAGATTTCCCTGAGCCATGGCTCCAGTGGGAAAGGAACGTGAACATTCCCCTGGGATCACTAATCACATCGTGAAGCTCAAAGCGAGGCCGCGTTTATTTCCAAGCCATGCCCTAGTGACGCCCGCCCACAGTTTGACATGGTTAACGGGATGAAAGAAATAGAGCCACTAAATGTATGCCCTGTAATTTACCAACACTACCGTGCAGAGCTGCTCACCTGCCTCTGGCATTCTAAATCAACCTGAGTGACTCAGGTTGATTTAGAATGCTGCGGGTTCTTTCCTTCGTTCCTTTTTGATAAGCCAACAACAGTGGCCGTACGAGAGGCTGGCATCGCCGTGTGGATGTACAATTTCCACCACTGGTTCAGGGCCCATTATCCATACGAAGATGGAGACGCGAAATTTTAACGATTTTTTTCGTGATGTTGAAATCTCAGAGGTAAATTACAAGATGCGTAGAGAGACGGGTGTGGTCGCATTGCTCGTGTGAGCGAGCAGATGCTGCGACTCATTCGGCTCTGCCGGGTGGTGCCGATCCCACGGTGCCAGCCCTGCCCCCTCCAGTGAGGACCTCACGATGCCGCAGCAGCAGCAGACGGCTTTGTTGGTCGCTTTAAGAGCCCCTCTGAGAAAGTTAATCAAACCAATTAAAACTCTAAGTAGAACTAAACTTATTTTCTGTTGACAAATTTCGTTTGCAACTATGGATGACCGTCGGGAGTTTTTTTTAAGGCCTGCCACTCATCACGGCACTCCAGCAAATGACACCGTTAAACTCTCGAGGTTGTTTAGTAAATTCGACGCGAGGGACGGCAAGTCCTGCTCGCCGAGCACTGTCGAACTGTAAATATGTTCCTGCCGTGCATCGGGTAAACACGTTTCCACCAACAAAGGTGGCCATTTCGATGCAAAACGTCGAGAGTTCTTGATAAATCCAGCCGATGCGAATGGGGCGTGGATCACCCGTGGCCGTAGCTCACCAAGTTAGTACTTCAGTGGCTTTGCAACCAGTTAATTGTGAGAAAAATGTAAAGGAATACTTCGTTTGTCTACGAGCGTCAGAATTACATAATTATATTTGACTACCCCCATCTCCATTCTAACAGAATGGCAATAAGCTTACAGGATTTTCCCCGAGGTATTGTCAGGGAACTCTACCAGTTTCCCATCATGGCTGGTTTCACTGCCATTATGCATTGCTCATCCTCGGGCTATCTCGTTTCAACCACACGGGGCAAATGACAAAGGCCCCTCACAACAAACAGCTCGGCTGCCTGTGGGAACACACGGCGTCACTCTGCGTCTTGAAGCCCAGTTTCAGGGGAAAAGGTTCAGACCGTGGTGTGGGCGCACAAGAGGGCCCCCCCCCCCTTCCCAGCCACATGGAACCGATGGATTTCCGGTGTGGACGTGCCCACTTGGTGGTGGTAGAATGGCTACACTGAGATGACAACATGTGTCGTCTTCATACTGCATAAGGCACAATAACCGCTGGTGAAACCCCTCGGTTTGGTATGAAACAGGAGTAAAACGAGTTGGGGATTTGCCCATGGGTGGAGATCAAATGAAGACACAAGGCCGATGTACGATTTCTTCTGATGTCAGTTTGTTGTAGACACCTTCATATCACTGGCCTCCTTTAAAAAAATACGTTGGGATAAAAATTGGAAAGCTACGGAAAGGGACCGGTACTGTCCTGGGGGAAGGGCATTAAGACTTTATTGGAAATCCGCACACGACGGATTCAAGTCTGTGCCACGGAACCTCATCCAATTTCGTTTTGCTCTCAAAAATACCAACATAAGAGCTACGCGCATATTACATCTCAGAGGAGATTTTGCCCAAAACACCCCCCCCCCCAATGGCAGTACACAGACATACGGGCATGCTTCTTAGGATCGTCCTGAGGAACTTTCCTTATTTGGGAAAACGTCACAAACGTTTCATCGTGCTACCGGACTAGCTTTGACATTATCATTTATGGGCAATCCGTCCATATATACATTCCGAGATGTAATGAATTGCTTTTGCAAATTGATATCATGGTATTCCATCAAAAATTGTTAATACATTGAAAATATCATGATTTACCCTCCCTGGGAGAGGCGAGGTGCTGTGGAAAAGTGCAGCTATTGAGCATCAGCGGGTACTGGCACACACGGATGAAAATATCACGAGGTACGGTCTCTCTCCATGTTCATCATCTTCGGCCTCTTTGTGTTCCACCTGAGAGAAGAGGTCCCTCACCCTTTCTCTTTCCCCTCTTGCGTGTTGTTTTGTTTACTCTGTGCAACACCACACTGGATACTACTGTGCGCACCTGCACCAGAGATGTTTCACGAGGGTAACCAGGTCTGTGGGTTTATTTTGTTTGTTCGTATGCATGCTTAATAACATGTATTTTGTAAACGCCACAATAAACACTAATCCTGGTCTTCCGTTAACGTTTCTGGTACCCTTCTCTTGAAAGTTCTACTTGTGATGGATGATTGAATAAAGTAATGTTTCTATAGATATCCCCATGAATGCTGATTGTGTTCTTCATTCCGACTTGTACACACAATTCATTTCTGAACAGTGGGCACGGTTGCCTGGAGTTAAAGCATCAACTGGCCTTGCCACCTCTGTTGTTCGCACAAACATGCTCATGGTAATTCACAGCTGTTCCCACTCCCTGTAATGTTACCACGATTCACACAGTTGTCACCCCGCACAGCTCCATTCTGCGACAGCGCTCGCCGCCTTGACAACCTCAGTGGGCACAACACAAAGAGCCGCCATCTCTGATCATGTGACATGTCTGCTACCTATCAGGTAAATAATATTGCACACAAGTACTCGGGCCAGGCCTCAATCACTGTGCAATTTTTCACAAAATCGCACCGTTACAGGTGACAAAATTACGAAATACGTTACATTACTTTAAAATCCCTAATATTCTGGGCTCTGATAACTCACCTATCTACCCAACAAATGGAGAAATATATAATTGCATACAAAATACAAGAGTCAAACAACACGACACAACACATTTGATTTAAGAAGCACTCAGACGTTGTACAGGGATAAGCAGGTGTGAAATCCCAACGCTCGTAATGAGTTCGGCGCTGCGATGAGCAGAGCGGCGCGTGTGCGAACAAGGGGAAGGCTCTGGCTCGGCGCGCGCGTGCACGTGCGGTGTTGTTCTCCGCACCTGCTTGGCGCCGACGGAGCCGCCGCCGCTGGTGGCCTCCACTCGGGACGCCAGCGTAAGCCGCATGGAGCTCGTCACGGCGCCGGTGGCCACCTTCGCGCGCGGCTCCAGAGGGGCGTCGTGACCGCCCGCGCTCGCCTGCCCCCACAGCACGCCGCTCCTCGGGCCGTCGAGCTCCACGCGACTCCTCTCGGCCCGGTTCTCCCGCTCGCCGGACCGAGTGCTCGAGAAGTTCTCGAGGCTGCGCGAGCGCACGCGGTCGCCGGCCGAGATCTTCGCGCGCCTGCGGGGCCGCCCGCGCGTCGCGCTGGCCTCGTCGAACTGCCCGATGAGCTCCTCGATGGACAGGATGTGTCCCGAGTCGATGTCGCGGCCCGTGCCCGCGCGGAACGGGATGTAGCGCCGGTTCTCGTGGCGGTTGGCGCTCTCCCCACGCAACTCGTCGGGGCCGTCCTCGGACGGCGATCGAATCGGCGGCCGCTCGGGAGACGCCCGCGAGCGCGAGGACGCGGAGCTCGCGTTGGAGCGTCCGAGGCTGTCCACGTCGCTGCCGGCCCTGCCGGACTCCTCGCTCATGCTCGACACCGACCGCGTCACCGGAGGCTTTTCCCCGCTCCGCTTCCCCCACAACTCCTGCGTCTTGCCGGCCGCGGGCAATGGGGGGCCCCGCACGCTCGCGCTGTCGGTGACTCTCGTGGCTTGACCTGCAAGCGCGCTTCCCACACCGTTGGGCTCCCCTTTCACCACCGGCTGCATCGCCCCGACTTTTGGACTTTTCTCCCTCTCTTGCCCATCCACGCATGATTGTGCCTTGTCGGCCGGCCTGTAGGGCTGAAGAATCCAAGGTTTTTTCTGAAAGTTCAGCTTCTGGCTTGAACTCTGACCCTTCAGTGCTGTAGATCGTGCCTGTTCTCGCGCCCGCATGAAATCTGGCCTCGTGTACTCGGTTTTCTTGTGCGGAGGGTCTGAAGTGGCGTTGCGAGGAAGGCTGTAGAGGTTCCCCTTGGGACCGGCAGCATCCTGGAACAAACCATCCACGGTGGTCACCGAAGAACCGTTTGAGTTGACGGCCAGGAGGCTCTGGGCGGTTTTCGTTTTGGGCTCCGGCAGTGTGAGCTTCGGTGGGTCTGGCAGGCCGCCCTCGGGCTGCTCGCTCGAGTTGAGCACCACAAAGGGCTGGCCCTTGATGCCCTGGATGCTGATCTGCACGCCGTACGAGGAGGAATTCATTTCACTCAAAGGGTTCCCCCCGCCTCTGTGAGCCGGCGCGTTGGCAAAGTCCTCGATGAAGCGAATCTGGAGCCCGTAGTCGCGCAGAGACTGTGCGTCCACCTCCTGCCGAGCCGGGTCCATGGTGGCCGCGTTCTGAAAAAGCAAGCGATGCAGGCATTAAGCATCGGGATTTACGGGAGGGCCCGGGAGGCTCGCGTGTAATGGTGCTGCTCGAACTCTGTCCCCGGCTCGGCATGGTCGCCCACGACGCACACACAGGCTATGCGCATACTTTGGTTTTGTTTCCGAAATCAGCAAAGTAAGTCGGTCAACGTATGTCCAATCAGTTTACATCAGTCTGACGGTTCACATGGCTCCTTGAGGGGTATCGAGCTGTTGCTCTCGAGCGTTCGATCCGGGTGGGATGCGTGGCTCTGCTGTTGCACGGCGTTCAGGCGGGCGAGCCTGCTTTACTGCGAGCCGGGGACCCCATCGGCAGTGAACAAACAGCGCGGCCGCCTGACAGGACAGGAGTTCTCTTCACACACATGCACGCAGCAACACAACACCCGTGTTTATTACTCCTGTGTGGTTTGCGATTACCATTACCTTGCAATTCACTGCGGTGTGCGATTAACATGGCATAACTCCAACCGGAGGGGAAACATGTAACGTCAACATGCGCATGGAGACCTCAGACAGAGACGCATCCCGCATGTAATGAAGACTAGGATGGACAAGCCGTACACAATACGACATTTGGTTACTCAAAACGGTAATGTCAAGAGTTCTCTGCCCAGCGCAGCTGCAGGCCAAATACCGACCCAGGGTGACCCTGGGCCAAGGTAAGCTCAGCCAGGACGACATGGCCTCACATTTCAGAGTTTAATGCTGTGCCAACTGCAGTCGTCATCGCTGGAAAGCCGAGTCGGCATCGACACCTACAAGTTTACTCTGCGAGGGTTACATGGTGATCCCACTGGACCCGCACGCAAAACCTTGTGTGGCGATACGGCCAGCGCAGCTTCACCGGGGTCTCCGGCCCAAAGACCTGGAACCAGTTTACCTGCGGCAGATGTTCAGAATCCGTCCGTGAGTCGGAGCCAGTTTGGCAAAAGACTTGAAACGGCGTTATTCCAAATAGCTCACTGCACATTTGTGATGGACTGGGCTTATAACAGTGCACAATAGCAAATGTTTGGACTTGCTTACAAAAGGTGGGGGACGCCTACCCTGTGACTGCGTGTGGAACAGATATTTCGACATGGATCGCCGTATCGCGGGAAACGTCACATTGCGATGCAGTATCGGCACAAACCTGAATCTCCCAAGCATCACCGGAATAGACCAGATTCCCCCCAGTGCCCTCTGGGTCTCGCGTCAAACACTCCAGAAGCACCGTGGCGAGCGCCACCCCCGCGCTGTGGTTCTAGCCGGCAGCCGGGGGCTCCCCTTCGTCATGACAGTAGAAGCAGCGCCCAGGGGCGGAGCCATAAGGGGGGGGGGGGCTGGGGGACTCAGCTCCCCATGAAATTTTGGGAAAGTCGGTAATCGGGATAACCAGATATCCGGCTGCTGCAAAATGCTGGCTGCCACCTTGTGCTGCCCTGCAGGCTGCCACCTTGTGCTGCCCTGCAGGCTTCCACCTTGTGCTGCCACCTTGTGCTGCCCTGCAGGCTGCCACCTTGTGCTGCCCTGCAGGCTGCTTTGAGTGGCAGCCTTTAGAACTTATCCAACTTATTAGCCACATCAGCGGCTCCGACCTATTCATAAACTCCGCGTTCAAATCCAATTAAATTTGTTTTATAAATTTGTGGCGCCCATTGGAAAACATTACACTGGATATCTCAGAATATTGAAGTCAGCCCCCCCCAAAGTCAAAATCCTGGCTCCGCCCCTGAGCAGCTCCCAGGCAAAGCCACAGCTCCACGAGCACCTCGCTACCAAGTGGTGCACAGTCGTCCCGGGGAGGCACTGCGTCCGGGTTTGGTTGCTGCACATGGACTACACTGCAGGCGGGATTGCACGACATACCACCTTCACCTCTTTTTAGTGACGTCGCAACGACATACGTTTGGCTCGGATGAGAACGTTCCAGAAGGTATTGCGCTTGTCACCAGGTTAAGGGGTCACACAGATCCGATGCGGGACACCTCCCCATTGTGCACGGCGAGTTGCCCGCGAGGGGCACGACCGGCCGTCTGCACAGGGCTGGCGGCGGTGTTACGCACGCTCAGATTTAGTTTTTCTAGGCTTCATCATGGTTTCCTCCCGAGTGCAAAATGGTAATCACATTTTTTTTCGCAACATATACCAAGCAAGGCACACTGAAAATCCTCAATCATCACGAGGTGTGATTTCAAACAAACACAATGTCACGTTTATCCCGTTAAGGATGGTGAAAATCAACACAAACGGCCTAAAGGGAACAATGCAGTCTGGATCTCCCTTGCAGCAGCACCGACATGCTGCGTCTGAATGGGCACTCACTGGTGGGCAGGTTTGGGAGTAATGACGTTCAGAGTTTGTATTCCAGAATGGATTCCAACTGTCCAAAGCCAACAGGGCTTAGATAACCACTTCGATAACCACTCCGCGTGCCATTCTCTGCAAAGCGATTAACACGCAAAATGTTTCTTCACCAATTGGGATGAGGCCAAAAAGTCACCCACCACTTGGAAAAAAAACTCTGGCCTCAAACCTGGTCTCGAGCAACAAAGCGGCTTTGTGTTACTCCAGCACTGGACTGCAAGTCCTGGTGAAATCCAAGTACCTCCTTAAAATATACATTGCATATATGTAGATAAGTGTACGTTTTTTATCAGATGATAACCATACCTCTTTGATGAATACATCCTTGGTCTCTCAGCTGCGTATCAGCTTGCCAATAACTCCATTCATTGCATAAAGCAACGTAGGAGACAGTGGTGAGAAGAGCAGCTTCCCATTGCTTCAGTAGCTCTTGCAAAAGAGTTGTGTGCACAGTCTTTGACATGTTTGAATACTGGGGCTTTTACTCGTTTGCAATACAGAATTCCTATTTGCCATTCAAACATTTGACAACCGTGATAGAGTACACAGGCAGAATCAAACTTCAAACACTCCACTGCCATTGTGCAGGGGACAATTTTTAAGTGTTTTATTCAACTTGTTCATCGAATGCATCCCGATCTTGTTATAATGTGGCAGATCCGAGGGAACGCTTTTTCTCCCAAAATTCCTGTACAAGAGCAGAGCCACATACAGTGACACAGGGGTGTACACCATGGGGCAGCCAGGAGGAAGCCCACGCCATGCGCAGCGGTGCAGATGAGCGATTAGGTCGTCCATTCAGAGGTACGTACCGAGTCGCCCCCAGTGCTGGGCTCCACCGTATCAAGATAAAAAAAAGTCTGACAATGGGATTTTTGTGCAGTGACTCGTGTCAGCAGAGACTCTATTAGAGTCATGTGAGAACCGGGATTAACATTGAGTGGCAGCCTGCAACCTAAGCTCAGGGTCTTAGCGATGCTGACTCATTTAAGTCAAGTTCATATCACCAGGCAATCTTTAATGAGTATTGTTTTGTAATTTTTTTTTTGTTTTTGGATAATATTTTTTCGTGGTTAGCGCAATAAACTATGAAGCCAGCAACCGCAGTGGTGGGCTAACATCAGTGGTGGGCATAATCTGAACAAACGCAGCCCTCAACTCCCCCACCATCAACAACACGCATGACACCCCGCTTAGTGACGTATGACCTAACAACCTCCATGATCGCCACGTCACGGAGTTCATCCAGCAGCGGATTGACAAAGGGCTTCACTGAATATTATTATAACTTAATTCTAACAATTTTACCTATTTTCCAAATTCACTTTTTTTTTCACCTGGAATATTAATCTATGGAAAACACAACAAATGCATTCGCTGTGTGCCCACTAAATAAACTAGCCACACGGAAAACTACACACGATTTACAGCTGGAATCACACCTACGTGCACATTAGAAGTCTGCATTTAAACTTTGGAAGTGAGCTGGGAAAATTTAACTTTCGTCCCAAGAATTCGCACTGAATGGATGAGTCATCTCTTTCGCATATCTTCTCTACGACGCACACCATCGGATTTCCTTCAGTGCCACTCCCCCTTCACACAATCCACCCCCCCTCCTTGCTGCGCTCAATGACTGCGTTCGATCACATACGTCTTCTCACCTCCCCGTGATCACACCGATGCCACGTACGCTGCACAGTACTCATAATAAAAAGCTGGTCCGACACAAAGCTCTCTGTATTGTGTTATGGCAATGTGTTGCTTTTCTCTGCTACATCCACAAGTGAATACCATGTCCATTATCAATGTTTGCACAATACGTCGGCTGCATGCGATTACGTTGGATCTGCGCTTCGCTTGCCATGCCTGGCGTCTTGCGCGCAGATCGAGGGCCTCATTGACGTCTCAAAATACCCTGGCAATTTTTTGGTGGAAAATAGAAGAGGCCATTTGGCTCTTCTTCGCCAAATGTTGAGTCCGCAACGACAAAGACTGGACGAAAATCGTCAGGCGTGACAATGACTATGATCAGAGACCTGAACGAGCCTGACCATGGACGAGAAGAAATTAACTCGTCTGAATGAAGATGCAGAATAGGATCACCTAATAGCGTTACCAGACAGCAGTACATGGAGTAAATTGGCGATACTGGATATGTACACGAAGATTTACAGAGTTCAGACTCGCTGAAGTATTGGACACCACCCCCCCCCACTCACACCATCTGTTAACTTTAAGTGTTTGACTAAATGTTTGTCCACATTAGTCAACTCGACTGCATGAATCCCACAGACTAAGACCTGTCTAATATTTCACAGGTCGTCGTCGTCTAGACTTAGATGCTGGATACATTATCCCTGCGCATCAGATCCACGCCGCGTGGACGCCCCAGACGTCGAGCAGCTCTGTGAAACAATCGCCGCCTCGACCACATCAATGTTAGTCTCGGCGCGGAGGACCTCACACGTTGGGTTATTTTATCAAAATGCACAGCGGTACATTATTTGGTGTTACTGTAGCGTTTCATAAATTCTCATCGGGCCCCATGATGTTTGCTGCACAAATGTCTACCTTTCCCTGGTCGTGTTTTGTTCCTTTCCTTGCCCTTTTCCCACATGTGCCCCGCTAACTAAATAAATGTATTGTTGGAATGCCGCTTGCTATGCATGCAGCCTGCCCTACACCTACCTACGTTCCTGGACATGTATGCAGAGAGTTGTTGACGTTCTAGTTAATGAAATCCATCGTCCGAGCTGAACAACAATCGTCTCATGTCCAATTTTCTGTCTTCTTCTTTGGCAAAAAGCTCGGTTTGCAAGCAGTGGTGCTGCTGCGTTGCAAAGCCACGTGGTCGTACAGGGGGCGCACACCGAAAGGCGCGGAAGACCGCACGGCGAGCCAAGGGGGGCTCGCGTGGCAAGACACTGAACACCACGGGGGTCCGCCCCGTGGCCATAGGCTTTGATATCATATCCCTCGTCGTGGCTCCAACATAGCATTGCTTTGTGCACCGGTGCTTGGATAGTATTGGTCAGGGAACACGCAATGGAGCCATGGGCTTAAATGCGCCGGTGGAAATTGCCAAATGTAATAAGTAATATTTTTAAAACAACTTGTTTAAAAACACGCTTTTTATGAAATGTACTAGCAATGGCACAACTCCACGACTCCAGGAAGTGGCCCCGAAGCTTGCCACAACTTAAGGGAGCGTGGCCAATTACAGGCAACGTCAGTTGAGCGTGGACAATTAGAGCCAAGCTGAAACATAACATATAAAAAATGTTTTAAAAAATATTTTTTTATGATAGAATATAGTATTGTCATCAGTATGCCAAGTTTGCAGTCGATACCACATTGGGAAGTGGGTTAAAATTGAGTTACAAGATTTGAGGATACAACAACGACAACAACAACAGAGCGAGTTTAAAGAAGGCGTGTAAAAAAAGCTACCGAGGTGGTTCGGTGGCCCACACAGCTAAAGCCGTGTTCAATTAATACGCCAGTACTTCTGAGAGCGCAAGTTCAAACCCAAGGCACCGGTCTAATGCTATGTTTCCTTGGCCATGAGAAACCGTGCCCAAGCCGCACCACTTGAGGAAGGAGCTCGGCCCCACCACCACCAAGCCCCACTCCTTGCTCTCTTTGGCTAGAGGGAAGTGATCAGACTTTTTTTTTATAATGCAATGTTCATCAGGCCCCATGGTATATAAAGTGAAGCCTCCAACTCGTAACCACTCTCTTCTGGCCTCTCTATGTGCTGTGAAGAAGGGCCATAGCCCGAAACATCACCTATGATATACTTTCTTTTATTTGGAAGGCCACAGTGTTGTGGATGAATGTTGATATTTTGTCAAAACAAAGTTTAGCGTATG